GTGCTATCCTTTAGACCCCCAAACTTGTTAACCTCATGCCTGGAAGTTTGCACCCTTTGAACAGTATCTCGCCATTGTCCCCACCTCCCCAACCCCTGGTAACGACTACACTCTTTATGTTTCTCTCAGTCTGTCCTTTTTAGATTCTATGTAGGAGTGATAGCATGCAGAATTTGTCTTTGTCTGCAAGATTCGTTTCTCTTAGCATAATGTCCTCAAGGTCCATCCAAGTTGTCACAAATGGTGGATTTTTTTAAATTTAATTTAAAGGTTTTATTTACTTATTAGAGAGAGAGAGAGAGAGAGAGAGAGACAAGCAGGGGCAACAGGCAGAGGGAGAGGGAGAAGCAGACTCCCCACCGAGCAGGGAGCCCAATGCGGGGCTTGATCCCAAGACCCTGAGATCATGACCTGAGCTGAAGGCCGACGACGCTTAGCCAACTGAGCCACCCAGGTGCCCCTGGTGGATTTTTTTTTTTTTTTTTTTTTTAGAAGGTCATTCTCACACGTGAGTTTTGACTCCAAACAAGGCATTTAGGCTCTGTTTCCTCACCCACAAGGCTTTGGAATATCCTTGATTCATTCACGTCCAACCGGCATTTGGGGCCCATGTGCTATCTTTCATGAACCATCACCCTTTTGGTGGCGGTAGCCCCAGGACAGTGCTGTTCCTGCCTCCGTGTTCCATGGTCTGGGGTCCAGCTTGCTGTCTCTGGCTTCTCCCCTCAGAGGCGCCAATATGCAGCTTATGGGTAGAGCGGCCTTCTCCCCAAACGTCCCTGCTCTTCTTAGACAAGGGTTTGCTGCCCTGACCGCCCTTCAAGTTCATGATGTCACTGGAACACGAGCTGACCATGGTGGAATTGAAGCTGCTGTTTCAACAGATATTTTCTAAGGGCCTAAGCTAAACCATGATGAGATAGCCCTTCTGAACATTCCCACTTGCTCTTTCTTTTCTTTGTACAGAAAATATCATTTACTCTTTCCACTTACTGCAGGGATTTTCAGAGACCAAATAGGAGATTTCCATTCTAGATGGTAATATTGGGCCAATCTGTTTGCTGAAATAAATTGAACGCAGTACTCGGGTTCTGGGATCAGTTCTTTGCTGAAGGATTTTTTTCAGTGGCTTGGAGTCAAGAAGAGTGAAATGGGTTGGAATATCCGTGTCAGACTTTGGCTTCCCTGTAGACTAATAACAACGACTTACATTCCTAGGGCTTCTCATGGTTTACAGAGTGCTTATCTATTAATAATTTCATTTGACCTTCATAACCTTCTTGTGATGTACACAGGAAACATTCGTCATGGGAAAAAGTGGGGACAACCTCCAAACTTGGGTGCTGTGCTCCCTCACAGGTTGTGTGGAGTATCATGACACTGCCCATGTGTGCCTCTAGGAAAATTAGGTTTAAATATAGGGTGGCTGACAACCTAGTAACTTTGTTCCTCCTCTGTTCTTCAGGAAAGCCAGAGAATGTTCTAGAATGAAATGTATCCAGAGGACAATAACTTTTATCTCTGGCCATTAGCCTAAAGGGCCTCATAAGACCCAAATATTGTAACCTGAGCATAAAAGCCTGGATCTATGGGGAGATTTCCTTCCTTTTTATGGTTGAATGGTATATATTGTATATTATTACACATTGTATTGTATATTATATATATATCATGTTCACACACATACCACATCCTGTTTATCCATTCATCTGTTGATGGACACTTCCTTTATTGCAATGCCTTGGCTACTGGGAGTAATGCTGTGATGAACATGGGAGTGTAAATATCACACTAAGATCCTGATTTCAGTTTCTTCAGCTATATGCCTCGAAGTGGAATTGATACTAGTGACCATTGTTACCTAATATTTTCCAGCAGAATATTAGGAATCCTATGTGACAAGTAATAGTAACTGGCTCCCTGAAATTTCTTAGAAAATAATTTCTGTCTTTAGCATTAAATGTAATATTGTTCACATCACATTCAGAGTTGGGTAGTTACTGCCATGGGTCATCAGTACATTGTGGCATCCAGATTCGGCTGAGCCATAGAACTACTGACCATTGAATCAAATCACTTCATAATTTTGCTCACTGATATAAAACTGACTGGTCATACCATTTCTCAGCATTTCATCATCTGATATTTTAAATGAATGCATCACAATCAAACCTCAAGAAGCAGGTGAAAAGGGCAGTTCTGAGTCTCAAGGTAAACTTCATACGATGAAAAGACAATGAATGGAAGAACAAACTTTGTTAGCAGAGGCTATCTAATAAGTCCACATTGATCTTTATCCTTGAGCTCTGCCCACCTCTGCCCCACTGGACATGTCACCAGTACACAGAGACCAACTCAGCCTCTTGAGCCAGCTTTAAAATATATTTGCTATTCATGTATTTCAAAAATAAAACTTCACCTCTGTAGAAAATGTGACATTTCTGGTGTACAGAAGCGAAGAGTGCCTGGGAGCATCCTATATGTTTGTTTCTCAAGATGGGGTCATCTTACTGACGAACTTGTTAATGCTTAAGGACCCGCACTTTTTAAGCAGGGGTCCATAAACCACATATGTTCTGAGCCGGTTTCAGCAAGGAGCCCTGGACACCTGCTCCGCCAGGCTGAAGTGATGAAGGGAAGGACAGTGGCATGTAGCATTTTCAGTCTGGGGATGGTGGTGCCATCACACTGCAAGCCTGGACAAGGGTTTATTGCATTCCTATTGTGTGGCCTCTATTTCAAGAGAAAACAAGAGGGCTCATGTGTGTTCTGCCTGGTTTTTCACACGATTGGGCTTATGGCATTCATTGGGGCTATTTTTTTCATTTGAGAGGCAGCATCCAAATAATATCATAATAAAAGATGCCGTAAACAAAGGGAAATGAAGTCACCAATCTTCCTGGTATGTGTTGGTGTGGGGATGAGGCGCGTTGGTGTTGGCGGGGAAGGAAATGGCGAGAAGATAAGAAATCAGAGAAGCGGTGGTGACCACTTTCCATAATTCCTGCTGAAAGCCTGTGATGCCACAAACAGGAAGAACTCCTGAGTCTTGTTACTTACAGATTTTTTTTAAAAAATTGGATTACTAGTAAAGAAAAGTAATTAGAGTAATTAGATTAATGACAAAATACATATTTTAATAGGCTTCCAGATAGAGCTGGCTGTGTGGACACACATGGCCACTCTCTTTCCTACTGGAAATGCATGACTATCATATTAAAGGAGTATTCTTTCAAAGCATAAACCCACGAGGACAGTTCTTACTATGCCTAAGTCCCTGATTGGAGGGGGGATGAATTGGTGATGAAGTCACAGAATCCAAACAACCACCCCCAAAAACTTTAGTGTGCGAGGGACCTGGATAAGAATAGTAGTCCATCACCCTATCACATCCCTCAGCTGGGGATGGTGTGCCCCTAGTTGGGAGTGCAAACGCTGGACTTTGATCTAACCAAAGGAACAATGTCGCTGCATTAAGGTGATGGGAGATGGTAAATTTTCGTCAATGTTGCAGACACGGGGATGGTGGAGAGAGTAAAGGGCCAAACCCTCTCCTTCCATAGCGCACAGTTAATGGATAATGCCTGATCTGGAAAATTCTGGTTGTTAGATCTAGGGGCTAAACATGCAAATATTTAATTAAAACATATGGGGGATAAGTCAAGCAGAGAAAGTCAATTATCATATGGTTTCACTTATTTGTGGAACATGAGGAATAGCAGGGAGGACGTTAGGAGAAGGAAGGGAAACATGAAGGGGGGGGAATCGGAGGGAGAGATGAACCGTGAGAGACTGTGGACTCTGAGGAACAAACTGAGGTTTGTGGGGGGGGGGGGGGTGGGGGGATGGGTGAGCCCGGCGATGGGTATTAAGGAGGGCACGTACTGCCTGGAGCACTGGGTGTTACACGCAAACAATGAATCATGGATCACTACATCAAAAACTAATGTATGGTGACTAACATAACACAATAAAATAAAATACAATTTAAAAAGTAAATAAATAAAAGATATGGGGAAAAGATAGAATATTTCTCTTTTTCATTAAAAAACCTTAGAGGGCTATTTAACACTTACTTGATATTTATGTTTAACACTAATAAAAATCATTTTTAAGGTATGGCCGTAATTGGGTGTATTATATGTTGTGGGTTTCCCTCTAATGAAACAACCTTTATTGTCCAGTGGAAGAATGAACAGTGCTGTGTCCAGGGTCCAACCTTGTACCCTTCATATGTGGTGCTTTTTATGGAGATGCCTTGTTTAGAATTCTTGACAAATAAATCTTCAAGAATCTTAATCAGTTCCACACACCCCCTCCCCCCACCTCACACCATGCCCCATATGCCAGACCGTCAAACATACACTGCTCAGTAACCGGGACGCTCCCCCTTTGCTTACAAGGGAGGAATCTGATGGCGAGGGAAGGGAAGAGAAACTGAGAAGTACTGTCCAGGGACTAAGCAGGGAAATGTTGTGAAAACTTACACACTATAAGTTACTACATTTTTTGTGTGTTATTTGGGTACTCCACTACTCTAACACTTCCAATCCGTGATCCCAGAGTTTAAAACACTCATTCATCTCAAGCTATTATGTTGTCCAAAATAAAATGATTTGGTTCCATCATTTTAACTTTAAGCCTTTTTAAAAAAACAGTTAAGCTTCACATCGGAATAGTCAGCAGTTTGTGTTATTTATCAAGTGAGAGGAAGGTGAATTTTTTGGGCCCACTGTTCTTACTCACATCTGGTTACATTTATTGTCTCATTCTCCTTATTGACCCAGGAGAAACTGTGCAGATTCCTTCTGCAGTGGACCCTGAACGCCGAACCTGCTCTTAAAGGCCCAACTGAACAGCACTGTTTTTCACTTGGTAGAGTAGCGGATGGGTGTCAGCACGTGCAGTTTTAGAGAGCCCCATCTTCCAGTGAAGGAAGGAAGCCCGGGACTCTGTTGGTGCTTGCGCGATAAGCACATGCTATGTCCTTTCTCTCCCAGGAGTACCAGCCTTGCAACACCAACCCGTGCCCCGAGCTGAAGAAGACCACGCCCTGGACGCCCTGGACGCCAGTCAACATCTCAGACAACGGGGGCCACTATGAGCAACGGTTCCGCTACACTTGCAAAGCCCGCCTGCCTGATCCAAATCTGCTCGAAGTGGGAAGGCAGAGAATCGAGATGCGGTACTGTTCCAGTGACGGAACCAGCGGCTGCTCCACAGACGGTGAGCGGCCACCCCCCCAGCACCAGCCCACTCCCCACAGACGGGCATTTGATCCCGTCTCTGAGGTCATAGAAGAGCAGGGGGAGGGCATGTTCTCCTTTTGATTGTTTTTGGTGTTGCAATCTTTGTGACAAGGATCCCACTCGTGCAGAACCAGCTTGATAGCAAACGATGGGAAAGAATTCCGTATTGAGGTGGTCCCATGAATTCAGTCCTCACAATGACATTATATTCCTTAGAGATGCAGAATAGTTGGTGGGAGATTTATTTAATATCAGGAAATATATTGAGGAAGACTCAGTGGTCTTCCATCGGTCTTCTCGCCCCCCCAAAATGCAAGCTACAAATAAGCTTTTACTTTCATTCTCCCCCAAGCTGGACCAAGACAAAGTGCGTCTGTCTGTAGAAGGATCTTCCTGCTTGAAAGTTCAGCCTGTGAGAATCCTTTCATAGTCTTTGAAATTGCTCTGTCCTTTTAATGCCTTCCATACCATATTAATAATGTAGGGAAAGCTCTAAGGTAGACCAGGAGATGCACCCTCTGCCTGGTCCTGCAGCGCAGTGGGCTTCTCTCCTCCGACAAGTCACTTGCTTGCCCTGGAGCTCAGCCATCTCTACTGCAGGAGAGGGAGTGAGCCTGGTCATCCCCAAAAATCTTCACTTCTGCTTTCTTCTTCATCTCTTTTGTCTCTCCCACCTAGTTTAATAAGATCTGTCCAATTCTAAAAAGAAGAGAGGTGTTCACAGATGGTTCGCGGAGCACGATGTTTTAAGAACGGTGATAGTACTATCGTGCACTAGACCGCTGGGAACATTTCTCGGCATGTTTGTGTTTATGTTTCCACCTTATTCTTCCAACATGAATGTGACCTAGAAAATACCGTCGCCATCAGTGTCACTTTTCGAGAAGGCTCCTTGGACCCAGAGTGGGTGGCCTTGATGAACCACAGAAGTAGTAAGGTGCCATGTTGGGCTGCCATGGGTAGGATAAATTCATGGGGGTGTGATAGATGTCCTCCTGCCTCCTTCAGTGCCCACGTGTCACTGATCTCTATGCCTCCTCTGGGGAGCTGCTGCTTGGAGGCCTGGCCGTTGCCATCAAGAGCCCCCCCTCATTGTAGGCCCTGACATTAACCACCTCCTGACCTCAAACCATTCTGCCCAGTGTAGTTCAGCAACTGTATATAGGCTTGTTCGTCATTTCTTTAAAAAAATAAGTCTACTTAGTGAAAAGTTTTCTGTGACTAGGTCTACAATTTCAATAAAGCGAACACCTAAGCATGTAGAAAATCAAGCAAAATGATCTTCCCTCCTACTAATTTTGTAAAATCCTGCTTTAGTAAGAAGAAAAGACGTATATATGCTGGAATACCAAGAGGGAACCGAGGACCCATTGTAAAGATCTACATTCCACAAGGGACGGGCTTGTGATCTCACGTTGGGATAGTGACATAAAATGCAGAATTCCCAGTTAAAGATGAATTTCAGATATTTCTCAGAATTTTTTAGTATAAGCATGCCCCATGAATCTGTTTTAGGATAAGTATGCCCCGTGCAATATTTGGGACGTACTTACCCAGAATATGATTTGTTGTTCATCTGAAATTCAGATTTAACCAGGCTTCCTCTGTTTTATTTGCAAATTCTGGCAACCCTATCTCCAATTCATGCGCTTAACTTTCTTATTTCAGAGCAGGCGGTGAACTGGGTTATTTCTTACGACATCAAGGTAAAAAAGAGACAATGAGTGTCAGTGTTTCCCTACACAGGAATGTCATTGTCTTTTCTGAACATATCTTTTTTTACCCTTTTTTTTTTAAGATTTTATTTATTTATTTCGGACAGAGAGAGAGAGAGAGCATGCATGAGCTGGGGGAGGGGCAGAGGCAGAGGGAAAAAGCAGATTCCACCCTGAGGAGGGAGCCTGACACGGGGCTCCATCCCAGGACCCTGAGATCATGGCCTGAGCCGAGGGTAGACGCTTACCCAGCTGAGCCACCCAGGCGCCCCTATTTACCCTTTTATTCTCAGATACATACAAAACCAAAGCTGATGTTTGTTTTCAATGATAGCAATATAAACTAAGAAAAAGTTTGATATACATTTATAAAGATATCCCATATTTCGTCCAAAAGTGTATCATGGGCAAGGCCTAAAAAGTACTTCATCTTTCTTTTGTCTTTAGGGCTTCAAGTTCTAATGACCATCTGCACGTTTTGGTATTGACATCTTGAAAATACAAAATTGGACTTCTTTGCCTCCAACCACACAAAATGAGGCTGACTTGTACATAGCTGTTCTGTATTGATTAACCACAAAGTATTGGTTCATCACAGAAAGACATTTCAAATCCATTTTCTCTAAAGAGCATCCTACTGAGGTTTCTGAGCCCGAGTTTTTAAGTAAACAGCAGAGGAGCTCGGCAGTGGACAGGACTCTTGCTGTATTTGCCTTCTCACACTTCCCCAGAACTTTGTGGCATACTTTGAGAGGTTTTGTTTTGTTTTGTTCTGTTTTGTTTTTAAGATCTATTTATTTGAGAGGGAGAGAGAGCATGAGCGGGGAGGGGAGGGGCAGAGGGAAAGGGAGACACAGAGTCCCTGCTGAGCAGGGAGCCCGATGCGGGGCTCGATCCCAGGACCCCGGGATCATGACCTGAGCCGAAGGCAGACGCTTAACCGACCGAGCCACCCAGGCGTCCTGAGAGTTTTCTGTGAAAACCTGAGTCACATTGCCAGCATTTGAGAGCATTAGAATATTTGTTGATATTGTAAGTGAGTGGCCATTTTCATCAAAGCGAACAGGACTTTTGGCTGTGCCTAATTAATTAAATGACTTAGCAAGCGTAGAGTGCTCAGAGCAGACCAGACACACGGGACGTGTCCAGAGCCTGTTCCTTCCAAGACAGCTCCCAGCTGCCCCTGCCTCTGCCGCCACACGTGTACCTGGGGAGACAGAGCTGCGAGTAAGCGGGCTCTGAACTTCCTGGGGGGGTGTGCCACTGGGCACCGTCGTTCAGGGATGTGTTCAGTTCTGAGTCATGAGCTCTGCCCCCTGCGGGGTTCCGGACAGACACCTGTCTCTGTGGCCTGGGATTCAAAAGTGGTGAACTCTGTATCTTTTACCGGGCTGAATTCACTGTGGAAAGGCTCACAGGTTTAGAATTCACTGTGGAAAGGAACAGGTTTAGAAAACTGTCGGAACCATGCTTTCCTCTCTACAGATGGGTGTCCCCAGTGGTGAGCATCACCTCATCCTCTATGGCACGGTTTGCTCTAGAATTCCCAAGAGAAGTGAGAGAGTTGTGGTTTCTTTGGAAGAAGTTTCTCAGAAAAACGAGTGGCCTACAAACCTAAGACCTACTGCTTAAGGATGTGACCGCATTTACCAATCAAGTTCTGCATGGCATCCTATGTAAGAGCCACCGCAGAGAAAGAAGCTTGAATTATGGAAGATTATCATTCACCTGCAGTTCTTTCTTCTGAAGTAGAAAAAATATTCAGCTGATTTGGGGGATGCAGTTACAGAATGAAGCAGGCAGCTGAGAGACAGGGAAGGTTAGCTGGGACTCCGGTTACTCTCAGAACTTCTAACGGCCACTCGCGGGCCATTTCATTGGCAGGACTTTCTGGTGATTTCCTGCGCGCTGGGAGGTACTCCGCCCACACCGTCAACGGGGCGTGGTCAGCCTGGACGTCGTGGTCACAGTGCAGCCGCGACTGTAGCCGGGGCATTCGGCACCGGAAGCGTGTTTGCAACAACCCCGAGCCCAAGTATGGGGGCATGCCATGCCTGGGCCCATCCCTGGAATATCAGGAGTGCAACATTTTGCCCTGCCCAGGTGAGTGGATCGAGTAATCTGGAAAACATCTTGAAATTCAAGGGCCTTAGACGACCTTCTAATTTAGGGAGGCTTGCTTGACTTCCCTGCCTTTATGCTTTAGATTAAATACATGAAAAGTCACAGATTACATTTTCTAACTGCCTTGGTAAAAAGACAGCTATAACCTAGGCTGGGTTATATTCATTTATTTCTCCTGATTTTAAAGAAATTAAAACATTCTCGTGAGCCCCCATGAGGCTCCAGGGCCCTCGGCCCCGTGCCTGATGGAGCAGGGGGCCCTGCGGTCCTGGCCTGGAGAGATGTGTTGTGTCCTTGAAACTAGAGGCTGGCCTCCTCCCAGACTCATGGGCCCAGCCCCCGCTTCATACCACAGATTCCTCCTCCAGGGTGACGGGTGTCAAGAGTGACCCACCAGGGGCCTGCCAAGCCAGACCCTCGTGTCCTCAGTCAGCAGGGCTCCGTTTTATCCTGAGTTTAGTCCTCCAAACACACACTCTTCTCTCTTGGAGGCTGACAGAGGCTGTTGTCGGGGACAACAAATGCCCTGAGACCTGGCATTTCATTCCACGGAGCTCCCAAATGAGCGCAGGGTTAGTAAATGAGCTTGAGGAGCCTCCGTCTTCCTGGACAGGACGTTGCTTGCAGATGCAGTCCTGAGGCTGTCTGTCGTAGTCAGTGCACTGGCCCTCTGTGTGCTCCTCCCGCCCAGCTCTGGGGGCAGCCCCGGCACCTGACTCCCTCCCACCTGACCTTCCCATAACCGGAGGCTCCTTCATCGATGCCTCACGGCCCCCCGAGCGCTGTCTAGGGTTCTGCACGTTGCCTCTGACTCTGCCCCACAGAGGTTCCCAGAACCGCAGGGACTTCCTTGATGGTCCCACTCACTGCAGCGCCCCCAGTGCCCGACACAGGCCTGACACACATGAAACAGCCGTCAGTGATCGTTCACCCACCAGTTCACCTCAAATAAAAACAGCCACCAGGTCACATTAAGGGGTGTCTCTGAGATGGGCCCGAGTCTTGCACTCAAGGACCAAAGGGGCATCCAAGCATTTGGAGAAGTCCGCATGTTGTGCTGACAGCAGTGAGGCCTCATGTCTGGAGCCTGGGGAGGAGAGGGTAGATGGAGGGATCCTGACGTTCCCTTGTCGCCTTCCCTGTTCAGTTTATAACACAGATCCTAATCTAATTATGTCACCAATGAACTCTCTCCCAGTGCCAGGGAGGAATCCTACTCTCCGTGCTAGGACTGTGGGAAAGAACTGGCTCTGTGACCTTTCCCACCCCCTCAGCATCACTTGGCCGGGAGAGCCAAGTAGTTGGAGGGAAGAGTCTCCTGAGGCTGGAGAAGTTCAGGCAGAGTCAGCCCAGGGGGAGTAGAGCCACCACGGGAGCAGGGGCATTACTGGGCTCCTCCTCCTCAAAGCCGAGAACTAGGTTTTTTCAATTTAACATACATTAATTCATCCATCCATCCAACTATCCATCCACCAATTAACCCACCACCCATCCATCCGTCATCCATCCACCCATCCATTCATCCATTAATCTACCCATCATCCATTCATCCATCATCCATCCATCTATCCATCCCCCTATCTATTCATCCACCACCCACCCATCCATCATGCATTCACCCATCTATTCATCCCAATCCAACCATCACCATTCATCCACCTACCCATCCATCCATCCATCCTTCCACCTATCTGTCCATCCACCAATTCACTCACCACCCATCCACCAGTTCACCTACCACCCACCCATCCATCCCTCTATCCACACATCATCTACCCATCACCCATCCATCTATTCATCTATTCACCCATCCAACAAATACTCACTGAGCACTGCTGCAAGCCAGTTCCTTGCTTAAGGAACTCAGAAACTTATTTGTACCTTCTGACAAAGATGCTGTGCTCACAGGTTTCTGTACCTTTTAAAACACTGTACCTGGTGTTTGGAATGACCCCACCCCCACTCCCCAGCCCTGCTCCTCTCTTTGGCCAATTCCTGTCTGTCCCTTGGGACTCAGCTCAGGGGCGGCCTGATAGGGGTAGCTGCCATGACTCCAGCTCAATGGGTCCTTGGCTGATGTAGCTACTACATCTGGTTACTAACCCAATCACCAGTGACCATCCTGGGTTGACATTATTCATAGGATGCCTCCTCATGAACTCTATGTTCCTTTCTGACCTGGACCATATCACTGCATCCACGTATACCCTGTGAATGGCGCACAGTGGGCAATCCAAAAATGTTTGCTGACAGAGTTGAATGAAGGAAGGAAGACCAAGTAACCCAGTGCTTGGTCTTTCTTCACTCCTTTTTTTTTTTTTTTTAACTTTTTTTTTTTTTTTTTTTTTGTTATGTTAATCACCATACATTACATCATTAGTTTTCGATGTAGTGTTCCATGATTCATTGTTTGTGCATAACACCCTGTGCTCCACGCAGAACGTGCCCTCTTGAATACCCATCACCAGGCTAGCCCATCCCCCCACCCCCTCCCCTCTAGAACCCTCAGTTTGTTTCTCAGAGTCCATCGTCTCTCATGGTTCGTCTCCCCCTCCGATTTCCCCCCTCCATTTTTCCCTTCCTGCTATCGTCTTCTTTTTTTTGTTTTTAACATATAATGTATCATTTGTTTCAGAGGTACAGATCTGTCTGTGATTCACAGAGGTACAGGTCTGTGATTCAGTCACACAATGCACAGCGCTCACCATAGCACATACCCTCCCCAATGTCCATCACCCAGCCACCCCATCCCTCCCACCCCGCACCACTCCAGCAACCCTCAGTTTGTTTCCTGAGATTAAGAATGCCTCATATCAGTCTTCACTCCTTTTTTTTCAATCCATGTTTGTTTTCAGAACTAAGGATTCCAGAGGTGGAGACAACAGGTCGTTCTTTGCTACTGAGTAATATTCAAGTTTAAGTAACTTTATGGGAGTCATAATATGAGGCAGGAGGGACACTGAGTCACAGTCTAACAGAGGGACAGACTCTGAATGAAAAGGATGACTTGGGTGTGTGTCCTGCAGATAACGTGTTTCCCCTCTGGGGAAACAGTGTCACATACACCCACGTCCCGGAGGACTGTGGAGGCAGGATTTTATATCTCTTGACAGCCCCCAGGATGCCTGACACTCAGACATTAATCATTTCGTTTTGCTCTGCTCTTCAGATGGCTAGTAATCGTACCTCTGGGGCCGTCATTCTTGTTTGGCTGTGGCGGGTGGAGTAGTCAGTCAGAACAAGAATTCTCATCCCCTTCTATCAGGTGTACCTAATCTCTGAATTTCATTTGATCCAAAGTAATTCCCTTCAATTCATTGCCTTGATCCTTGCAGGAAACATGAATCTGAGCTTTCTCGTTTTTGTCTGATCTTCCTCTGAACTGGTCTTTCTGGGCCAGGAAGAGATTCCCGCAGGACTTGTAGCAATGTGACCGGAGTTACGCGAAGCCCTAAACGGTGCCTGGTCCTGGGCTCAGCCTGCTGGTCCTGCCCCCCCCCCCCCCCGCCCCCACGCATCGCCTCTGCACCGTCACCCCTCTGGTTCCATCCCGCATTCTAGAACACCCCCCATGGTGGTGGTGAGGACAAGGAGCACTACCAAGTGGGTTATTATTTCCACTTGTGTCGTTATTGTGTTAGCCCAGCATCGTTTATGCAGCAGGCTAGGAAGCTCTCAGGTGCCTCACATGGAGGCTACATTTGTTTTCCTTCCTTGGCTCCAAAGTTCCTGCAGGCTGCCTAGCAGTGAAGGCTATGGCGTGAAGCTTTTCCATACTCTGTAATTTCTATTTTGGAAATACTTTATAGTCTTCCTAATATGAAATATTACTTCAATATTCATTATCATTTTTTATCCAGTCCAAAGCACCGTCCCCCTTGCATCCAGAGTCCGTGCTCCGAGAAGGTGGAGATCTGTGATAGGAGCACAAGTTTGAGGTGGCAGGAAGTGAGGAGCTGGGTCGAACTGGTCCGGGGTGTCCAGTGATTACAGAACAGGGCAACTGCCTGGTGGAGTACCGTGGCTGGAATTTTCCTCTGATTTCCCTTTGGACTGGAAGCATCTCTTTCCCCAGTTCTGAGTATATCCCTTAGGACAATGAAGTTGCTGTTGAACTCGGTGGAGGTATTTGTGAGCTTATGGTTGAAACTGGCAAGTGGGAATGTTTTAGCTGCTGGATTCTGTTCCAAATGCTCCCTCAAACTGCTCGCATTCCGAACAAGAGCTACATTCTGTTAAACAACAAACAGTTCTGTGCCAGGGCAATTTTTTTGTGATACCAAGAGGACAGTTGGTGTGAATGGGGTGGGTAGCATTTATTAGACTAGATGAGATAATACTTGGAATGTTAGTTGAAATGTGGATAGGAATGAATGCTATTTGAAATATCACAAGGTAGTTTCTAAACATCAGCTTATCAGCCTCCTGGTGTGTGACTGTTAGGACTGCATGATTATAACATGATTATGAATGAAAAAAAATCAATCTTTGGTTTGTTTTTAAAATTTTTTATTGTAGTAAGAATATTTAACATGAGAGCCACCCTGTTAACAAATCTCTATTTTTTTTTTTAAATTTGTTTATTTACTTGGGCGGGGAGAGGGAGAGAGAGAATCCCAAGGAGACTCCCCACTGAGCTCGGAGCCCAACAGGGGGCTGGATCTCATGACCCCGATATCATAACCTGAGCCGAAACCAGGAGTCAGATGCTCAACAGACTGAGCCACCCAAGGGCCCCTGTAAACAAAACTTGACACATGCACAAGACAGGACTGTTACCGAGAGAACAGTGTTGCACAGAAGGCTATGTGGGCTTTTGTGAATAATACTGCAACAGACATGGGAGTGTAGGTATCTTTTTGAGATCTTGATTTCAATTCTTTTGGATATCTGTACCCAGAAGTGGGATTTCTGGATCATACAGTAGTTCTGTTTTTAATTTTTTCGAGAACCACCATAGTGCTTTTCCTAGTGACTGCACCAGTTTTCATTTGCCCCCAGCACTGTGCAAAGGTTCTGATTTCTCCAAATCCTCACCAGCATTTTTATCTATTGTTCCCCGTTGTTTTTCTTTTTATAACCTCCATCCTGGCAGGTGTAAAGTGATGTCTCATTGTGGTTTCGAATTGCATTTCATGGATAGTTAGTAATGTTGAGCATTGTTAAACATACCTGTTGGCCACTGGTCAGCAAGTCTACCATGACATACAAAAGTGAAGAATCCTCAGATCCCATGGTTGGTTCTATCTAAGTCAGGTTCCCGCACCATCTAGACGAGGCACTAGACCCTTCGGAGCTCCAGATTGTCTTGTGCACATTCAGACACCCAAGCTCTTTGACACCTGTTATTCTAAGGCACCTTCTTCTTGGGTGTGCAAACATATGCACTAGAGACCAAGCTTCAGCTCAGGTTACAGACAGAGAAAAACTGGCAGCAAGCATCCGCCCAGTAAGAATAGATGCAGAGGAGGATGTTTGAAACTTTTACAATTCTGCCTCCTACCAGTGGCAGATAACTGACTGGTTCCCCCCTACCTCCCGATCCACCTTATTGCCTATTAGGGAAAACGTATAAACTTCTGAATCACAAAGTGCCCAGTTAGGTCACAAACCCACTTTAACATGGGGTTCAGGTATTTTGTTTCTGTTTTGTTTTTACTTGTTTGCAGATAAAAATATCATAAAAATGAAATTCTTGCTCATGTTTCTCAAAAATACTTTCTTTTTACGTATGCTTATAACTAAAGAAAAATATTACTCCACAAAGATGCGTTAAATCATGCTGGGTGTATTAAAATGCAAATGCTGTGATTCTACTTAAAACAACCTTGAACAACTTTGGCATTGCTTCTCATGATGGCTTCTGGGTTTGTTTGTTTGTTTTTAAGATTTTATTTATTTATTTGCAAGAGAGAGGGGGAGCACGGATAGGGGGAGGGCAGAGGGACAAGCAGCCTCCCCGCTGAGTGCAGAGCCCCACACGGGGCTCGATCCCAGGACCCTGAGATCATGACTTGAGCTGAAGGCCGCTGCTTAACCGACTGAGCCACCCAGGTGCCCCATTTTGTTTCCTTTTTATGTAGGATACAGGGAAAATAAACTATGCAACTAGGTACATATGGTAATAGTGAGGCTCTCATCGGGTTTTTATTGTCACTAGCTGTGGTGATGGCTATTCTTGCCCATTTTTGATGAGTCTAATGCCGGGTCAACAGAGTCCTGCAGCTTTGCTCTGGGGCTGGCTAGCAAGAGAGAGCACCATTCAGGAGTTAGATAAATAACAGGTCGGATATGACAGTATCAGAGACTGCAGCCAGCATGAGGGGCCGGTTTTAGCAACATCAGCTGATGCAGGACGAGCACCGAGGTCCCACATCCAGGCGGGCCACCGATGCCAGCGCTCAGGAGGTGCGGGTGCAGGTATCAGGAGCCCGGATTGGGGCAAACGAGGGACATGCTCTGGGTGACCAATAGTCACGGAACCAGTCATGCCTCATGTCCGCATTGTAAAACTCTCCTCCATAATCATCTGGCTGTGGATATTGGGATTCGTCTCTTTAATCCTTCCTGTAAACGCATTGCCAGGTCAAGTGCGGTTCATGCTCAGTTTGGTTGTTTAGCACCTGCGTCTCCGGAGCGCCCTTCACAGTTCCTCCCGGAACCTGTTAGCTTTTCTCAAAACCCCGTGTCGTCGAGCACATTGTAATCCAGGTAGGAAGGAAGCCCGTGACTGCAGCTGCCGATCCTTGGCTCTAGGTAGGTTGTGTGGTTAGCAAAGTGAGAGAGAGCTAGCGGGCCTTCACGTGAATGACTACAGAATGTGGTTCATGGTCCTTCCCGAGGACTGGGACTTTGTATTACATACGTAGCACTCCTCGGCTCTCTTCCTGCTTGCCTGTTATAGGTTTAGAAATATTGTCCGAAAGAACAAGTAAGAGGCACTGAGAAAGCATAGGGAGGAATATGCAAAGCTGGTTTCCTCACCAGGAGGACGAGCCCAGACAGCCCCGTGAGCGGCCAGGGGGTGCACCGATGCCTTCCTGCAAGGCACGTTCCATCTGCGGCCGCGTCAGATTGGTCAGATGGGGATTTCAGAAGTGTTGTGACTTTGTGTCCCTTCCCAGTGGATGGCGTCTGGTCTTGCTGGTCTCCCTGGTCAAAATGCTCGGCGACGTGTGGTGGTGGGCACTACATGAGGACCCGCTCGTGCACAAACCCAGCCCCAGCCTACGGAGGAGACATCTGCCTGGGGCTGCACACGGAGGAGGCGCTCTGCAACACGCAGCCCTGCCCGGGTAAGCGGCCTGCCTGATTGCCCGACTCGGGGGCTCAACCCGCCCCTTCCCTCCCTTGATTTGCAAGTGGTAAAAGTGATGAGACCCCATGAGAGCAAATACTGAAAGAAGGGAACACCTCAATCCCGCGCTATAAACCTTGCTGTGACGTCATAGCACATTGTTGCACAGTGGAATGAATAGTTCTCACCGTGCCGTTGTTTCTCAACTAGTAACAGACACGGGTCATCACAATGCATTATTAAAAGGTTTAACCTGGTCATGGGATCTGAAAATCAGGTTGGGGAGCAAGGAGAGCCCTTGTGAAGGACTTGGCTTCAGGTCCGGGGGTTCGGGGAGATCCAAGCTCCAAGGCTGGCTAACACAGGTGCCCAGTGGGTACACTGCCGCAGCATCCTTCTCCAGTAATAATCTGCTTTGTCCTGACATGTGGGGGCCGCTTGGAATGGAAATGGGACACTCTCTTCTGAGTCTAACTTTGATATTGAAACACCCATACTTTTAATGTTTTTACTTGCTCCTGCAGATCTTTCTGGAGGGTTCCATTTATATTGAAAAGTGCCTAGAAACCAGATTCTCACAGTCATCCCCAAACCTCGTACTTTACACGTTTTTAAGGAAAAATGTAACCTCTTTACCGTGGATCCAGGCACATACTTGATTTCCAGATTTTCCCTGTAATGCAGAGATGACACTGAAATTTAAGAAGAAAAAATCAAACTGCATTAAAAAATATCTTTTTAATTTGTTCAGTATTTCCAAATAATACTGAGAGCACATTTTTTTGACCTCCTTACTTAAAACATGAGTGTTTCTTTTCACACGTCCGTAGGCCTGGGTGAAGTTAACGAATCCTAGCAAATTTTCCACTTCAGGGTGAAGTGTCCTTAGATCATTCAGCTTTGGGCCTTCACCCCAGACTCATGCCCTGATCTTAGGCACATAGGCAACAATAAACCTGGGATAAAATAAATTCTACCTCAGGTACTGCCTGACATTGGTATATCGACTGCAGAATTGTTCGTGTAACGGAAGGGAAGGTGCTTGTAGTAGCTGGAAGCCCCTCTCAGCAACCTGGTCTCTCTCATTCACGCACTGCCATTTCTCTTGCCCAAGCTCTGAGGCCTGTAGGAATTTTGGCAGGAAAGGGTTTGAGGGCTGCTCTTCACAGAGGAGCGTTGCCCTGTGGGAAATGGGGTCTGCACTGAAGATTTCTCTCCCCTGACCACTGACCGTCTCTGCACAGCTGGACCTCATGAATTAGAGTATTGTGTGTCCAATTACAATGACTTTAAAACCTTAAAATAACATGGATTTTGGAAAAGCGCATTATTTTTGCTCAAAGGTCTACAAGCTCTTTTATTCCACTCCATGTGTAATTTATTTACTGGGACGCTTAGAAGATACACGTCCATCTTATTTATACACAGCCCCATTACAAATGTAATATGAAAACTTAAAGTCATGTGTGGTGCTTCCAGGTGGGTTGATCTCAGGGGGCATTGTCACATGTCCCCTCTTCCGGTCATTGCAGAGAGCTGGTCCGAGTGGTCAGACTGGTCTGAGTGCGACGTGTCTGGAGTGCAGGTCCGTGCCCGCCAATGCATCCTTCTGTTCCCTGTGGGTAGCCAGTGTTCTGGAAACACCACCGAGAGCCAGCCGTGTGTTTTTGATGCCAATTTCATCCCAGGTAAGGGCAGAGAGGCTTGTCAGTGTGAACCAAATCATTTCCATCATTTAGAGAGGAAATGAGTCATAGGTGGGAGTTTTATCTGTCATTTGAGGTCTTGTTTGGTGAAACAGAGATGATTCTATCAACTCCTGTGGTTTCAAGGTAATTAGTAGATTTACAGATAACTGTGGGTTTAGGCTTGAATTTGGGCCATGCGTGTTGAGTATTTTTTTTCTAACACAATATCTCCTACAGTTTACTGACTATAACACGGTGAGACGATTTTGCCCAAAAAATCAAATTAGATTATCCTGTTATTTTAACATTAGGCTAAATGCCCTTGCAGTGCTGTGTGCATGTGTTTGTACAGAGAAAAAAGGCCAATTCTTTATGCAACCTTGGTTTACTTGGGAAGATGGAAACCTTCCTTGGCTCTCATCTTGGAGAAGAGACTGGCTGGCCCTTGGGCTATAGGCTTTTCCATGTGAAATCGATGTTCGGTTATTGATGGTAGCCAGTCATCTGTCATATGTAGGCATGGTGTTAGGTATTTCCAAGTCATTTTGTCTATGTCCACTGTACTTTAAGGCAGTGTTGTAGACCAAAGCAGAGACCAACCTCCTACAAGGTAATAATAGGTATTTACCTTGTTTTCTTCCACATATGGAAAAAGTAACCATATTTTAGAGAAAATTATTAGCTTTAGCCTTATAAGGTGCCTCCATCGTGTAAGGTATCGAACTGCAAGTATTTATTGTATTGTTTTCCTTTTTGACCACAGACATACTGCTGATTCTTGCTACCCACTGAAAAGTCAGCACAGGAAAGAATAGTGTCTCTGGTCTCCTGAAATGATGTTTGATCCTTGTGGGTTAAACCATTCCTAGCGTCTGTTCTCTCGTTGGCATTTTACTTGGGTATATAATATGTGTCATGGCAAAGAGTATGAGTGGGTGCTGAATGGGGGCTTTATTTGACTTTATGGCAATTTCCTTGGAGCTGTGGTGGATTGGTCCCCTCTGCAGGGAATTTGACAACACTGCTTTGTTCAGAGGCCGGAACACCCAGGCAAATGCTGTGGGGTTGACACCTGGCGGAATATTTGGTAACAGAAAATCAGCACATACTCTGGCCTTATTTTGAAATTAGTGCCCTGGTTTCAACCCAGAGGACCATAGCCTTTTCTTTCCGTGATAATGAATCTCACTCCTTCTCAATCATGATGACCTTGACCGAATACATCTCAGGTTGGTTAAAACAAAGAAACATACATTTTTTTTTTTTAAATAAGTAATCGGGCTTTTGGAACTTTGACTCACATAAAACACGAAATCATTAGACTCATTGATACGCTCTTTCTTCCCAACACCCTTTACACATCATGATTTAATTTTTTTTCCAGAAGTATCTGTGGCGAGATCCAGTAGTGTAGAAGAGAAACGGTGTGGGGGTAAGTTCCTCTTTTTAACTAATTTTTAATTAATTTCTGATATTTTCTCATCATTTCTCTTCCCGTATGTTTTATATGATGTTTGGCCCAAGAAGAACAGACTGGAGAAACTCTTGATCCAAACACCTTATACTTTGGTTAGTATGAATGTGAGTAGTCAATATTTGACATCTGGATCAGTGTTTCTCAGGTGCAATATCTACCAGCATCATCAGCATCAACCTGGGAGGTGGTAGGAGTGCATATTCTCAGGCCCTGCCTCAACCTGTAGGATCAGAACCTCTCTGAGTGGGGCCCAGCACTCTGTGGCTTAATAAGCTTTTCAGGTGATTTCTTTCAGTGGATGCTAATAAGCTTTATGAACCAGTGATCTTGATAGTAGCTATAGTTAAATTTCTTAGGAGTAAAAACCTCAATTCAAGCATTTCCTTTACATTTATAGTGCAGATACATGGCAGCCAGCCTCTAACCAGCAGACTGCTGGAGTGACAACATTGTAATGGGGCATTAGGTTATACCTACATCTCTGGAGGTGGTTTTTAAACTTTCTGCAAATCTGAATGACAAAACTCAACATTCTCTGGTTCCAGTTCCTGCTAAATTTGGACTTGACTGTCTATGTTTACCTTGTCTGGACAGGAGGGGCTGACTGTCCACTGGTCAAAGCCCATCCTCTGTCCACCTTTGGTAATCAGAGCCAGTATCCACACCAGGACCACAGATTCATCCATGTGGCTGGTGACCTATAAATACCCATTCCTGCCATAATCCAGTCCACCAGCAGAGTCCCAGAAGCTCAGCCAGAGGCCCTGGTCTTTGTTTATTTTCAATCAGAATCCAGAGCTTTGTGGATGTGTTTTAGGAACGTACTTACTGTTATTAACTACATTAATTAAGAGCTCACTATTTGTTGCATTCTCTCTGTTTAGTTAGTTGTTAATCTGTTCATTTACTAATCTTTGCGGAGCACCCGATCCATGAGCTCTGTGAGGGGCACTGAGTTGACCATGGGGACACCAACAGCCCCAGCCCTTCTGGAACCAGCAGTCATATCATAAAAGACCCCAGTGCCTGAGACATTCAGTGTCTGGTGTCTGACCTACATTGGTTCAGAGAGCTCACAGACTGGCAGTCACTGACTTGGGATCCACTGGAAGATGAATAGACACTAGTTCCCATAAAAATAATCATAGCTGTAAGTGTCCATTAATATTTTTAAATCAGTCACTCTACACCACCGTATTAAATGGCAAGAAGTACCCTATTTGATCCTCACAAAGAGCGTTCACGTAGGTGCCGCGGCCCACAGTTCCTTAATGTAAAACCTTTGGAAATACAGGAGGGTTTTAGAATTCAGCATTTTTCAGGATTTCAGATAGGTCGTATGGGGCATATGATGTCTATTATGTAACACTCTGCAGTGCCCAGGGCTACATTCTGTAAGCAGTCTCTTTCATGATGCTTTGTGAAGTGTGGGCAAAGTGAAGATGCCAATGCCTCTCCTGCAGTTCTAGTTAGTTCTGCAGCAAAAGGGTTGGGTCAGGTCATGCTTTGCTGCCAGGTGAGTGATGAAAAATCCGTTTCCAGAGATTTTGGTTTTGTGAATTGCAGCCATGCACTGTCATCTGCATGAAGGTCGGTAAGAGTCAGAGGGATGAGGCCACTGGCCAAAGTTCACACAGGTAGTCAGCACTGGAGTCACAGATGGGATCCAGGCAGTGGAGCTGAGAGTACCACGGGAGAAGGATCCTGGCAGTGGGTATCTGGGAGGATTGTGTCTGGGGGGCTGGAGCCACAGCAGCCCTGGTCAGGAGACAGTTTTGGACAACACCCAGGGTCCAGGGACACCTGCTGCCTTCGGAGGCAGCGTAGGTCCAAAGAGAAGCAGAGTTTTTAAGGAGTGCCCCTGTCCTCTGGGAGGCCAAGACAGAACTTGGGGTCAACCAGCTGATACCTCTGCAGAGTTGACTGGTCCTCCATGCCCACCAGAGATTCCAAAACCATTTTCCCCCGCCAGCCTTGTCTGGGTTAGGATATAGGAGACCTTCAAAGGCCTTGAACATCTGGGAGAACATGGTGCAACATCCATTCCCATCCTAAAATGCTGCTTCTGTGTGTCTGAGTCAGATGGGCTAATTGGGCTACCCAATCCCAAATCAAGCCTTGACATGCTATTGATTAGATCATAGAGACGTTCCTTACTCTGTGATGTTCACAACTGATATTTTTAGATCTTTAGGCTGCTGTAACACTGACACACCAGGACAGGGAAGTCAGAGGTCATATGGATCTGATTGTAGGGCTGAGGGGTAAAAAAAAAATCACCTAGCAAAATATTTTGGGATGTTTAGGGAGACAACAAGATGTCTTTTTTTTTTCCATTTGAAGAGAAATCAATCAAATTTGGTATAGGAAATCATCCAGTTGAGTGAACTGGGTAGCTGGTTTCTATTCCAGCTTTTCTGACCAAAAACAACAGAAAAAAAAAAGCATATTCCAAGCAAAGAGCCACATTAAGCAAATTCAAAAGAGATTTAATATGCACTATTTTTCCCTATGCAGAAAAATGTAGGCCAATTGAATTTTTCAATTTATTATTATTATTTTTAGTTTTAGTTTCATGAGACACAAAGACTAGATAATCCTCATAAAGATGTCAGTTGGCCCCAGCCTCCCTGGGCACCTGCACACATGATCCATTTGACTAATGACAAAGTATCTGCATATGGAGAGCATCATATATCTTTCACATATTATAATAAAATGTTATCAGTGCAGCAGAAAGTACTTTTATCGGTAGAAGGCATTGACCCTAGGGAGTCAAAGTGACTAAAGTGTAAAACAATGACAGCACGTGTGAAATCTGCTATCGCTTACTTTGAGCACAGTTCCAGTGTGATGGTAGACCCTTCTGGTGGTGGCTGGTGGGATGTCCCCCCGGATGCTTTGTCCAACCGGCCCACGTCTGGGGCTGTCCAGCTCTAGAGGCTTCAGACAAAATCAGGAAAGGTCAGAGATTTATGAATTGCTTCCATTTTGTTAAACAATGGACCAAAGAATCAAGAAGTGAAAAACTGGTGGATGTAGGGGAGCAGGTGATGCTTGTGGAATATTCTAGTAACATCTGCTGGGATTATCCAGGGTCTGGTGCTGAAGACTTGGGTGCCTGCCTTAGGAATGGGGTAGGAGCGAGGGGGTTGCAGCTTACAGTGAACGCAGCCTCTGTGCATGCTGGCCACTCCCCTAGAGAGGCAGCTCCATCTCTCAGGGGTCCCGGGAACACGGCATCCGGAAGTAGCAAAGGGACACGGCCTAGAGGGAGACATCAGGGTGTGGGAACAGTGAGGGTACCCCACCTCTGCTGCAGATTCAGGTAGGAGCCAGGGTAGTCGAGGGGCAAACACCCCAGGGCCTGGGTGCAAGGGACAAACTTGTAGGCCTTCTCTCCCTGAGAGCCTGGGGGCCTCTCTCTCTGTGGCTCTGCGATTTGCCTGGTGTCTGCAGGGTGCCTAGAAGGCATTTCCAGTGGTTCTCTTTGGGTGCAGGATGGACAGACAGATCAGGGAAGAGCATGGGTGGCACTGCACCCCCTGGTGGTGTGTGGAGGGGACATCCTGGGGGAAAGCCAGTCCTTGGGATGTGTCCTGTGCAGGGACAAGGCCAGTAACCCACAGGCGACAGGTTACACATGGCGCCAACACAGTGTAGAAACAGCAAGGTCATGTTCTGCTTCACCTGATTTTCATTAAGCCCAGCTTCATGAGCATTGCCCAGATGTTGTCTTTATTCCCTGAAAGGCTTGAAACCTTCATTGTATGGTGTTCTATCAAGACATGATGAACATCTGTTTTTCTGTGTGGTTGTTTCTCAGACATTACAAAGATCTTTGTTATGGTACCTTGATGTTCCTCAAGCCAGTCCCACATTAGACACATAAATCCGTGTCTGCTCATTTTTTCAACATCTTGTATTCATAACTCAAGGAAAATAACCCAAAGATGCTATTTAATAGAAAAAAATATGTGAAAGAGGGTTGTTTCATAACCATTAAAAGATCATACTTCATTCCTTTGGCACAAATCCTTTATTTCTTTGGTACAAAATTTTCTTTATCGGGTCTCCAAAATACAGTAATTTTGAGCAATAATTGGAAGCAGTAAATGCATTCTCACTTTGTTCATGTAGGCTGTAGGCAGGGATGCTCCACCTGTTAAGGAGCATGGAAAAAATGTTCTCTAGGAACCCCCTAGACCAGAGATGATGCTGCACTTGAAACAGATGAGCAGACTTGAGGAATCCTTTAAAAGAAAAAAATGCTTCTGCTAGTATATTAAGGTGATCTCCTAAAGACTCATTATAGTCCGTAAGAGCATTCACTTAAAATATGCTGTGCTCCCTGTGGGGGAGTGTGTTGGTGGCCATGACATTTCAAAGGAAGGTCACGGGCCTTTTGTTTTGTCTTGCTCTTTTCATCCAAGTGCATTGAGCTGTTGAGTAGTGTGTTCTTTTCCAAAGGAGCGTCACTTTTGATACTGTCTTCCCAGAGTTCAATGTGTTCCACATGATTGCCGTGGGGCTGAGCAGCTCCATCCTGGGCTGCCTCCTTACTCTGCTTGTCTACACCTACTGTCAGCGGTACCAGCAGCAATCCCACGATGCCACGGTCATCCACCCCGTTGCTCCCGCCCCGCTCAACACCAGCATAACTAACCACATCAACAAACTGGACAAGTATGACTCAGTGGAAGCCATCAAGGTAAGGGGTCTGCAGATGGAGGTTCAAGGAAGGGCCCTGGGGGCCATTGGCCAAGCTCGGGGGTGGGGGTGGCTTGAATGAAAGAGTGGAGAGCAAGGTAACGGGTGCCCCTCATGATGAGCTGCCATCTTAGCTTGGCTTTGCCTACAAAAAAGATGGCGCCTTCTATGGGGAAGTAGGTTAAAAATAGGACTTGGAAACAGCAACAGATAGAATGCCGGAAAATACTGGGTCATTGGCCAATGTCCAGCTCTGCCTCCAATCCCCAGGTTGGCATCCTGAGAAAAATTGTTACATTATGATAAAAACTATCCTCAAATAAATTTTATGCATAATGAAGGCTCTTCAGCTTTGCCTGCTATTATGTGACTGGTATGGGACGAAGTGTTCTGTTAAATTTTCTCAATGGGTGATTAATTCAGTGTTTGCCCCAGAAATAGAGAGTCAATGGCCAGTCTCCTCATTCTGAGGAAGAAGGAGTGGAAAGGACATCAGCTCTGGACCAGGCAGACCTGAGTCCATGAGTCACCAGCTGAGGCATTGTGCGTCAGGGTTTAGAATACAAGTCAGTTAATTTGTTGAACCTCAATTTCTTCATCTTTAAAGTGGGTATAGCAATGTGTACTGTCATATCTCTGTTGTGAGGACCAAATGGGATAACATGCAGGAGTCGGGGTGTAGCTGGAAGGACACGCAGGGCTCTTTTTGACTTCACCCCACGTGCCCTTGAATGAAGGACATTCTCATTTTGATATTCCTCTTAAATTGGTGCTTCCCCTTAACATTCCCAGGGAACATTTTGATGCTCTCTCTGCCATGATGGTTTCCTTTGAAATTTGATTTCCTTCCCATGTGGGAATATGGAACATCTTCAGCCCTTACAACTTCCGGTGGTTGGGAGGTCTTGTTCCCTGAGGACCACAGTGTCCTTTCTTGTTTACTTGGAGAGAGACAGAGCCAGTTGGCTTTTACCCATGCGTCTTGCTTACACCAGGATCCAGAACCCACCAGCGCCTGATGCTAATCACATGCTAGGGCCAGGGAATAAAGCCCTAGGCACTAATAACACTCCCCTCACACCCTCTCAGCCCCGAGCTCCCAGAGTATGAGGAGGAACATGAGCTCCTTTTATGAGCAAGAACCTTTCAAACAAGCCTTCAGGATCCAAGAATGGGGCTCCTCTAAATGTGATTCCAACCTATTGACTTGTGTGTTACTTCAAATGTCTCAAGAGAATTTAGCTGGTCTTCTGATCTCACTTGAGATCCAGGAACCAATAAATAATAATTTATTGTTATCCAGATCATAAGAAATTTCACTACTAGGAGGGCAGAGGGCTCTGAGGGCACTGACTGCTGCCTTAGTCTCTAATGATCCTTCTGGAACTTTCTTCTGATACCTTGCCTAGACCAGTCCTGGACAGTTGGCCTCTGCCAACCATCTGACATCTTTATGTCAGTCCTTTTAATATTGAGGATAAATATTAAATAGTTTGCATTTTGAAAGTGTAGGTGGCTTTAATGACTTAATAAGGAAGGCAAATCCGTGTCAGAAGTGGCTACAGTAGCCTGTGTTGGGGGGTCCATAGCTGGGCCCCCCAATAACATGCATATTATGGCTTGCTGAATGAGAAGGTACAGGCCACACGGGATCAGCAGGCAGCCCCCTCAGCACCCGAGCTCCTCCTTTGGGGAAGGAGAAACCCCGGGATTGTTTTGACTGAGGGCACAGTTTCAGTACACTCACGCAAAGGAAGTCAGGTCCCAAGGATTATTACTTACCCACCCCCAGGAGCCTGGGGAAGGGCAGTCCTCCATCCCTGGTCAGCAGTGAGCAGGAGACAGAGAGAGGGTAGCAGGCACCTGTTACTTATAAGGTGGTTTGGGCAGACATCACTCACGTTTTACAGGCTCAGCTCTTAAGTGGCTATTTTATTTTTTAATTTTCTTAAAGATATATATTTATTTATTTATTTAGAGGGTGAGTGAGTGGAGGGGAGGGGAGGGGCAGAGGGAGAGGGAGAGAATCTCAAGCGGACTCCCCAGTGAGTCCATCTCACGTCCCTGAGATCATGACCTGAGCTAAAATCAAGAGTCGGACACCAAACTAACTGAGCCACGCAGGAGACCCTCTGAGTGGTTATTTTAAAAGGTATCCCAGGAGAGCTCTATTTTTAATGTCCTGAGGAATCTCCATACTGTTTTCCAGAGTGGCTGTACCAGCTTGCATTCCCACCGACCATGTAAGATGGCTCCCCTTTCTCCACATCCTCGCCAACATTTGTTGTTTCCTGCCTTGTTAATTTTAACCACTCTGACTGGTTGCGGAAGGGGAGGTGGGTGGGGAATGAGGTAACCGGGTGATGAGCATTAAGGAGGGCATGTGATGTGATGAGCACTGGGTGTTATTCGCAACTGATGAATCATTGAACACTACATCTGAAACTAGTGATGTGCTATATGTTGGCTCTTTGAATTTAAATTAAAAAATAAATTTAAAAAAAGGTGCCCCAGGAAAAGCAAAACAGGGACTTATGTGGAAACACCAAACTGGGGTCCTTAGGTAAATGTTCAGACTCTGGGTCTGAATGGGCTTGTCAGGCTGCAGAATGTCCAGGCAGCAACTTAGAATGGCTGTTTTCTCATCACATGCTCACCTGCTAACAACTGTAGAAAATGAAAAGAAATCAAGCCATTTGAAATTTCATGCATTTACTTAAATAAGCTCCTTCAAAATCTCTTAATCAGTGTACCTGTCTGTGATAATCAGAAAGCTGCTTAAATTCTACTCAGTTACATAACATTCAAAGTGTCTGTTGATTTGAAATCACTAGAGTTTTAGGTTTGTTGAAGGTTTGGATTTCTCAAGCTCTATATATCAAAAATTGCCAACCTCATTCTGGTCATGAGGCAGGTCCTCAGGAAGGCAAATAAGGGGAGGAAGCAAGTAAGTGAGAAATCACATTTAGAACAACGGAGCCTCAGAAGGGAGTTCAAATTCAACCTAATCGTCCCCTCCTTATGTTATCTTTCCAAAATACTGCTTGTGGAGTATTCTTAAGTCTTTCTTTTTATTATTACTTTACTTTTTACAGGCGTTTAACAAAAACAACTTGATCCTAGAGGAAAGAAACAAGTACTTCAACCCTCACCTCACTGGGAAGACCTATTCCAACGCCTACTTTACAGATCTCAATAATTACGATGAGTACTAAATAGCTGTTACATTTTTGGCTTCTTGTAATCCCCCGGTTTCTCAAGGCCTGTCCTCCATGACTGCCCATGTTTCCACGACTTCAGAGATGAAGTTTGGATACATTTCAAGTGCATTTCAAGCCATGAGTGTCCCATTGCTGCCAAAAACAGACATCCTTAAAAGCAACAAAAATCTAAATATGATGTCGTGAAAATCTGGTCTAAATGCTTGATCATTGTTGAATGAGCCATGGCGTGAAGTTTTGTTTTGTTTTGTTTTGTTTTTTATTGTGCTCAGTCCATTTTTCTAACAAGTCAGTTGTGTTTGTCAGCTTTTTAATAAATGTACCACCCACATAGGAAGGAGTCTTTAGAAATAGGAATGTCTTCCTGCTCTTGAGCGTAAATCTTCATGATGTTTTAATTCAGGAGAATAGACACTTCTGCTGAGAGTCCCCCTCCCTCCACCAGGAGTGTCAGATCCATAGTATTTGATAAAATGAAGGATATGAATGTGGCTGTAGAGTTATTCGCCATGGGTCTCCCATCTTCCCAACCTGGATAATTCTGTGGAATCCTTGGAGGCAACTTGTGTGTCTGGACTTGGAATGGCTCTCACCTGGGCAAGGGCAGGGATTCACCCTGGCTTGGGTCTGCAGAGGTGATGGCGTGAGGTGTGACACTCTCATCCCTCCCTTGGTCTTGATGCAGTTCTTGTGTTGTCCCTGGTGGAGCTGAGCTGAAAGACCAGAGACTCAGACATGATGAAGGGTCCAGCGTTCTGCACGGTGCTGCAAGGCTAGCCTCCATATTCTCCCTTCTGGACTTCCTACCATTCCAGGGAGCTCCTTGTCGCGTGGTTGGCCCGGAAGCCTACCTGGCCGGTCCATAGGAACATCCTGAAGAGCCGTTTGTAAAACCACCACTCGTTCACCATTTGGATAGCCTCCTCAGCCTCTCTTATTCCTGCAAGGAAAGATCGTGAACATTCATTAACACCGATGAGGGAAAGTATTAAAAATACTTTGAAATATAGTTGAAACCAACTTTTTTTTTCCCCCATGTTATAGGAAGGTTCGAAAGAACTGACATTTAAGGAGAAGTAACTTTTTATTTTCTGTCTCCTGATAGAACTAGTGTGTGGCTATCAGCCCCTTCCCGGAGCATTACTGACGTGTAGAACTGGTTTTCTGCAGCCCGTCGATGTACATATTGAAGTGTGCCCCAAGTACCCAGCTCTCATTTGCTGCCTCCGGGTCCGGTGAGGAGGTTCTGGTGCCTTGTGTCTCTATCTAGCTCAGTGCTGCCCTCCCCTCCGCCCCCTCCCACCTCTCCCTGCACGGAGGCAACAGCATTTCAAGATGTACCTTGAGAAAGCAGGGAAGTGAGGTTGTCAGAAATCCCTGTGGTTCTGAGCATTGATCACCACTAAGCATTTCAGAGTGCTGTCATATATATTCATAGAGGTCCCCAAAAGGAAAAAAGCAGGAGAAATTACTCATAAACAACTGATAAATAATACATGGCAGTTGGTTGAATAGTTTTTGGAAGAAAGAACAAGATTGAAACTGCTCATCGGACACCCCTGACCGACATGGACAGTAAGACACATTCTTACTGCACAGTGAACCTTCAGATCCGTGAACGTACGCAGCACAGGCAGTGCGGAACGCAGACTTATTAGCACACGTGTTTTTAATCCTATCCAGTTGAAAGAAACAATTTCAGAAAGTGTTGGGGGAAATCCCCCGTTTAGTCAAGAGTATTGTTGTATTGAAAATACTCTCATACACCCAGATTTTCAGAAGCTACTCTACTAAAATTCCAATTTAAATGGCAGGGGGTCTCCGGGAGGTCAGAGAGGTCGCCCCTGAATGGTGTTCTGGGTCTTTCCGGGGGGGGAGTCCATGTTGCCTCTCCTGCGAGTCTTGCCCGCTGTGTGAGGCTGCTCGGCTTGGACACACAGAGCTGAAGTCCACACTGAGGTGAAATTCAGCCAGCGGGTTCCCTCGTTGTTCCTCAGCGGGATTCGCATTGGATGCTTTAACTTGTGTCATCGCTTCCCTCTAAGAAAAATGTCCTCGCTGAGAAGTACGATGTAGTTGCTTTTGAATCCCTTCCCCAGTGTTTTCTAAGCTTAAAAGGACATTTTATCTCCCCTGGGAAAGAGAATACTAATATTTGGAGAAAGCCTCCCTGGACCTGATTAGAAATGCTTTCTAAGTGCTGTCCACGCTAGACTTGAGTCCATCCCCTGCAGTGACCGGGGGCAGCACCCACCCTCCCCGCGGAGTTTGCACCTTGGCTGACTGTACGTCCTGGAACTTACCACTGCTGAGAAATGCTCTCATCTTTGTTCTCTGAAACTCCACTCAGAGAAAAATCACTCTGGCTTCTCTCTCTCTCTCTGTGTCTCTCTCACATTCTCCTTATTTCACAGAATTTCAATTCATTAAGAATAATTTTAACTATAATCTAAGTATTTTAAGCAGCTATGGAGTAACTTTTGCTTCTCCATCCTTCTGCGGCTGTTGTTCATAGGGGTGTGCCACCCCTCCGTACCCCTGGTTGTTGCCTGAGCCCCAGGCGGGCTTTCACAGGGGTGCCTCCCATGTCCACCTGGACCTCCTCCCTAAAGCAGCTCTCCTGGAGGCTGCCACGTTTGCCTTCCCTGTGGGTCGCATTGGAAGTTTCTGGATGACTTTTTCTTTCGGTCTTATCTTTTTTTTCTTTTCCTTCCTTCTGTTTTCCTCTCTCCCTCTCTCCTTCCTTCCTTGCTAGTACTAGCAGCACAGATAGGGACTAATACTTTTAAGCCACACCCCCTCTGAACCTAACATCGAATGACACTAATCACAGTTAAATCTCTAGGAGTATTTCTGGATAGGGTTGAAGTTTGCCTGTTTTCATTAGGAAACTGGCTTTCGGCTCACACTGGAGTCTTTGGAAGTGATTCCCAGCGGCAGGGCTGCTCAGGGTCCTTTCTCCAGACGAAAGGAATCCCCATCCCGAGTGCCCAGCCTACAGAGGCCCACGTCCTTTGGAAGGAGAACACTGCCCTGCTTTCCCCAAGGAGCGCTGTGGACCAGCGGCTGGCATGAGCCTGAGGGCTTGTCACCCCTGAGCGATGGGACTGTGACTTGGGAGGAGCTCTGCCCCACGGAAGCCCCACCGCCGCCAGACCCGGTGCTTCCCCGCAGGGTTGCCCGGCTCGCTGGAGGCCCATGTCCCTGCTGCTTCAGGGAGGCTTCTGCACCCCACTCCTGCGGGGACGTTCAGCAAGCCCGCTTGGGTGCATCCTGAGGGCAGGTGGTGCTTCCTTGAGTGTGTATGTGGGGCGGGTGGAGGTGCCACAGGACCTGCAGAGGAGTGGACAGTGGGGGGACACGCATCCCTGCCCCAGAGAGGCCCCTGTCCCTGGGAAGGGGCTGCCCTGTGCTCGGGGTGGACCAGGGTCTGGCCCCATGGACTCGTGGAGTGATGCCAAAGAAAAGAGAAGCAAAGGTGGGAAAAGGTGAAAATAGGGACCCGGTGGCTCCCGAGCTGAGTGTGAGGGCCGGTCCCAGGTGGGCAGCCAGGATGCATGCACAGTTCTGTGGGTCCGATGCCGGGACTCCAGAGGGTGGGAGTTTCAGCCGAGGGTGGCCTTATTTCCTTATTTGTCTGCACATGGGCGAGAGTCGTGGGGCTGAAAGCCCAGGAGGGTGAGTGCTTCCACTGGAGGCGTTGGTAGAATCTGTGGGTCAGACCACCTTCCGAGTTAGGGACAAAGTCTCAGCGGGGGAATCCGGTGTCCCCAGGGCTACCTACAGGATACATGAGTGTGTAACGGAAGATCAGAGGAGATTTTATGTGAAATATATATCCAAGTCTGCAGTCAGCTAATCATTTTGCATAAACACTCCCTTAATGCACACTGAAGGTGCAGTCTTGGTAGAATAAATAAAATAAAGTCTTGTTTTTAGAATAAATCGTGGACATGTCCCCAACAGTGTCAAAACACCTTAAGCAGGATCTTTTACACTCTATTGGGGTTTTCTGGTGTGTGGCATTTGGGGTCCACTCCATTGAAGTCAGCATTTCCATCTCAAAAGCTGGCTCTGGGGCACCATCCAGGGGCAGCAGGTACCAGTGGGGGGTAGAGTGAACTGCTTCTACCTCAGAGCAGCCATTCTCCACAGAGCAGGACTGTCCCTAAGCCTCCAGCTCCGATAATCAGTGTTCCCGAAGGTGGGAATTACAATGAGAACCTTAAGTCAATTCACACGCAAACTCTCTGCTCTTCTTTTTAAGATGAGGCAAAAGTGGAGTTCTCGGATTGCATTGGCATGCCCAATACATTCATCCCTTCTCATGTCTCCATTACGTCATGGCCATTCTTGTCACCTGGTGAGAATATGTGGACACAACATTGCAGATCTGATTACCTATGATTGTCTATTGTCAGAAAATAAAGCCATGCCGAGCGCCTGGCTTCTCTGGGCAATGGGTGTGAAATGGGAGAACGTAAAGTAACTGTCACTTTGACCAGAGGAATACACAAAAAGGAATGCCATTTATTCAGAGATCAAAGATTTGGAGACCAGAAACCATCATGGAATCTATTTCTGCTTTTCTCCTCTATTGAGGTCATTAATAATAACTGATTGAAAGATGCTTTGTAACTCTACACATACTCAAGGTATTCCTATTCTCTGTTTTGATAACCCGATAAAATACAGGGAAATAAATTGCTGGAATCCTTGCTTTTCCCTTTGGAAACTGAAAAGTAATGAACAAGATGCAATGTTGGATTATTGGCAGGGATTTCTATAATGACTATTCTGTCATTTTTTTTTATTATCCTGTCTCCATTTTTTAATGGACTTATATTAAAGATGTGTTATACATATTTTGGGGAGCAGATGGATCAAGGTTTTTTCATCTATCATATGTCGCATTAGCAAAGATTTGATACATGTTCCAAAAGCATCAGGAATGGAGATTGTTCTCTCTTGAAAACATAGCTTACACAGCACAGGGACTTACTTAGAACATCGTCAAAACGAAATTCAGAGCCTGACACCAAGTGTACAGTTCCTAATGTAAGCTGCCTTGTAGTATTTGCAAAACATCATATTCGTTTTGCCATCAAAAGCAATCAAGCTTATTACCCATGACCGGAGTCAGAATCGATTTTTGTTCAAACAAA